TATAGGCCCCAGCAGTTGAAAGCTCTGGACAAACTCCATTTAGTTGGGGGAACTTGAGATAGAATACCTTTTCACTGTTAATAACAGCAACTTAAATGTAAAGGATTGAAATGGTGTATTAACTTTTGGCATATTTGATCCTTTAGTGCAAAAATAGTTATCCACCTACAAGAAACAACTGTCAATAAGGAGCCAGGTCCCTACCAAAACAGCAAGTACTCCTTCATCAAGCTTTCATTCAAGGAACACGGGCAGATTGAGGTACTTCTATTGTGACATACTTTTTCTAACTTGTATTCACCAACGATTTATTGCATGAACCTGACTAGGTGTCATTTTCTTGCAGTTTCACAGGAGACTAACAGAGGAAATGACTCAGAAGAGATGGGAGAATACACCGGTGTCACAACCCATCTCCGCAGGAACTAGCTCACAGGTAAGAAGCCCAATAAAGGCTCCTTTTTAATCAAACTAATATATTTTCCCCTACAGTAAATGTCTTTGAGAATGTCTTTTAAGATGCTTGATAAGAATAATGTCAGTTCAAATGTTATTCCAGCTGATGGCAGTGTTGTTTCTTTATTCTTGGCCTTAAATATTCAGAACTTCTGCCTCTAACTATTTACTGATATAGGAAAGTGACACATATATATCAATAGCTTTTACAATTAATATAAGTAGAATATACCAAAGCACGACTCGCACCGGAGTGAAGGTAAGCTTCTGTGTAGGCTGTTACTCTCTTGTAATTTCACTTGCATTCACTCATGTGTCTCCAAATTAGATTACATTAATCACATTTGTTGGATAAAAACTATGAAATAGAAACAGTAGAAACTAAAATTGATGTATGTTCTCTAACAGCTGTGAACCACAATATGTTCCCTCCTCACTGTTTGACATTCCTTGTCATTTTGGGGCTTCTTTTGAATTGCCTGCATGCTTCACTAAGTATGTTTTCTTTTTTCCCTTTGTGGTAATGTAGGCGGGAAGAACGCGTGCCGTGGGTATTGTTGGCATTGAGAGGAAGATAGAGGAGAAGAGGAAAGAAACAGACAAAAACATTTGTGAGGTACTATCAACTGAAATATTTAGATATATTTAACCTGAAAGCTTCAAGTTTTGTGTTTTTCCATATTTTGACAAAAATGACTGTAAAACCATTGGAATGTATTCAAGCTGACCACAGCCACTGAGGCTGACACACGTGAGGCATCTCAAAAGTTACACAACTGCTGTAAGATACACTTTATGTGTGTATTACTTACAATAAAGATCAAATAAAAGCTATTTTTAGCTTTTTAAAAGATTTGACACGGGAAAGAAATGTGGGTTTACGTCTAGGCAGACAATTTAGTTGCATTATCAGCTAGAGGAGGGGTGGGATTGCTCTGGAATTATATTCAAATGATATCTGTAGCCATAAAGTGTTGTTGTTAATTTAATTATTAACATTTTTTAGCACTATAACCAATTTAGTCTCTTTTTTCCAGGCTTTTGAGGACCTCAGTAAGCTGATGGTGAAGGTAACGAATGCTCTCATTTTGTATGTTCACCTTCCCTCTAGCATCATTTCTTACAAAATCTAATAATACAAGTATTCTCAAATGTAATCCATTATACTATATGATCATTTAAACATCTTAACCATTGATATCTCTGTTAATCTCATATACTGACATGTGGTGGGTTTTGACTGTCTAACAGGCCAAAGAGATGGTGGAGCTGTCCAGATCTATCGCCAACAAGATCAAAGACAAGCATGGAGACATTTCAGAAGACGAGGTAAGAGCTTGACCAACGTAATCACACACAGAAACTGGAGGACAATGGACGTGGTTTCAAATGACTGTACGTTCAGCAATAGTTAAAACATCTTCGTATTACTCTCAAACCTCACTGGAAGATTTTAAACAAGTGATCAATATATTATACAATAGTTCTCGGTTATATACAAAACATGTCTCTGAAGTGTTTGGCTCGAAATACCAAACAGATCAGAATATCTTTACACATATACATTTTTGCACAATAGGTGACCTTTAACTGTTATGTTTTTCTTTATAGACGATACGGTTCAAGTCCTACCTGCTCAGCATGGGTATTGCCAACCCTGTTACCAGAGAAACGTGTGGGACGGGTACACATTACCATATGCAGCTGGCTAAGCAGCTGGGAGATATGCTCCAGGCCCCTCTAGAGGTAGGTGTGAATGTGTGTGTGTCACGTTTTTTCACATCTATACTGGCTTATATCAAACACTGTTTACAATTCGATGTATGTTTCCCTCTGTTTCTATCACTCTGTCCTCTCTCAGGAGCGTGGCGGTATGATGGCTCTCACTGAGGTGTACTGTCTCGTAAACCGCGCCAGAGGGATGGAGGTAAACTCAATTTACTACAGATCAAACTTGAGTGGGCATGTCCATTCTGGTTGAACTGGTGGTACACAACATTGCAATCTATACATTCATGCTACACACAAATAATCTTTGGTAGCCTGTCAGAAACTGAGGTTACTTTTCTTTCTCTTTGCACAGCTTTTATCCCCAGAAGATTTGGTAAACGCGTGCAAGATGTTTGAGTCATTGAAGCTACCGTTGAGGTGAGCATTGTTTGTCTTTGTGCGCACTTGTATACATTCCTTCATGTATAGACCAGCTTCTGGGATTATTATAGGCATACAAGGCAGGGTGTTGGCGCCTGCCTCACAAAGCCCAGACTTTTCCTGCCTGGCTTCCTGTTGTTGGAAGTATTGGCCAGCCCTTTGTGACTGTCATTTCCTGTCAGTACCCAGGGTTTCCAAAAGAAACTCTGACCTGTTTCTCCAACAGGCTGGTGCTAATGACCCCAGACTGGTTGCTTTTCTTAAGTTCGCTATTTTAGTTTCATTGAAATTAATTCAGTATAAATCTGTCTTCATCTCACATTTTCCTCCATGCATTTTGTCTTGTTTGAAGGCTACGTGTGTTTGACAGTGGTGTGATGGTGGTCCAGCTGCAGTCTCACAGCGAAGAGGAAATGATCGCCTCAGCACTGGACAATGTAAGCTTCACAGTTACAAACACTATTGACTTTTGACTGATCAAGCAGACTGCTGTCTTAGATGCACACTACCAGTCAAAAGTTTGGACACACCTTCTCATTCGAAGTTTTTTTATTTATCTTTGCTGGCGACACTGTTCAAAAAATTCAAGGCACACTTAACCAGCATGGCCACCACAGCATTCTGAAGTAGCCAACAAAATATAAATCATATTCTGGATTTTGTAACATTTGTTTTGTTAACTAGATAATTCCATATGTGTTCTTTCATAGTTTTGATGTCTTCAGTCTTAATCTAGGTCTTAAGTAGAACAAATATATAATAAACAAAAACCATTGAATGAGAAGGTGTGTCCAAACTTTTGACTGGTTCTGTAAATATATTTTAAATATGGAGCAAACACTTTTAGGTTTTAAAGTTTTGTGATGAATTCCCTCTCTTATGTCATCATCTCTCCCGTGTTCAGGTGACCGACAAAGGCTCTTTGACAGCAGAGGAGTTTGCAAAGCTCTTGGGTCTCTCTGTTCTTCTGTCTAAAGAGCGGTAAGTGAATAACTGTCTGTCTGTTACGGTACATACAATTGTTAAACAAAGAAAAGATTCACTGTTTTCTCATTTTATTGTTCATTATTGCTTTCATGTTTTTTTCTTCTTCGTGTCTTTGTGTCCCCTCTTCATCTTCAGATTGTTGCTGGCTGAGAAGGTGGGCCACCTCTGTCGAGATGACTCTGTGGAGGGTCTGAGATTCTACCCAAATCTCTTTTCAACGGCTTAGAGTTATTATAGCTAAGATAGAAAAACATATCTTCAACTGGGCTACACTGTCTTTGCTTGTTGGCTTATGGTGGCTACAATGGCAGAGTGTATTTAGTTGTTGTTTTTTAAACGGTTGTAGTTCCGTTAGTGCTATATTACAATCCACTGTAGAACAAGCTCTTTTCTATAGGTCTAAGAGCCGATAAGGGGGTAAAGAATTCTGCAAATAAATACTGAACATGCAGAAAAGTGTCCCCAAATTGCTTTGCTTGATGGAGTGACCATCACGTGGGAAAATTGGCCTACTGGAATATACACGTGCATTTTGTCACAGAGCTCATACCTTGTTTAAAAAAACTGTTTTCAGAATTCTAAATAAAATGTTTTGTTATAAATAATTACGTAATGAAGCATCCGTCTCATCTTCTGAGAGCGGAGAGAACATGCACATATTCATTTGAATACCCTACCATGACATCCTTTATCTTGTTTTAGTCTCTCAGTCTTGTCCATAAAAAGCATTCTATTTATTTGTTCTCTTGTCAAACTTTAATTTAATCTAAATTAATCTAGACTACATCCAAGAAAAGACCAAGATAAGATGCCTGATCTGCTGCCAGTTTGATTCACAGCCAATGAATCCCTTCAACTGCAGAAGTTATCTAAATAAATCCCACTTGATTTTAGTTACTTGTCTAAATGTCGAAACTTTACTTTCTGTTGGGAGTGATACCTCCATTCTTGTTTTTCAATCTTTGTCCCTGGAAGGCTTCTTCTTTGGTCCTATTGTGAACTGAGCTGAAGATTAAAGGGGGATCCATCGCAAAAGAAACTTCCTGTTTTCGCCGACTGTCTGGAGAAAATGAAGGTCTGCAGCTGATTAGATTACCCTGACATGCTGTTCATATATTGATAGAGCTGAAACGTAATTGTTTTCAAGGAAGCTTGAGAGCTGACCTGAGGCACTTCTGAATACAATAATTAGGGACTCGTGTACGACATTGACACCGTTTTTCTAAACATAATAGGTCCTGTTTGTCCATGCTAAAATGAATTTTCTCAATGATGCATTTTTAAGTTAATCAATATGCTGATTGATTGGCTATCTGAACAAATCATGGTTTTCTTTCATCTGTGGTTTAAAGAAGGAAAACTCTTCACTTGTCTGTATAGGGGGAAGTTCATCTGATTTTGTGAGATTAATAATTCTGTTTACTATCGTGACTGCATGTGTACAAAGATTAATTTTGTTACCCTGCCTGCCTCCTGGGACAACTGGGGATACACAATGCTATCCTTTCTGAATTTCCATATGACTTCATCATGAGTTTCTTTTTAGATGGAATCTTTAAACAATCATTGCCATAAAGAAAGATTTATTTGACTGCCTCTTGAAGGCGTAAATTATAGTTCAAACCGTTGAATCGCACATATTTCTGTATGCAGTCACTTTTTTAAATGACCTAGGAGTCTTTTTAAAACTGATAACAATCTCTTTAATGATTCACTTAAAACAGTGCAATAGGCGGTGAGGAAATAATCTTTAATTTGTGCTTCAGTTTTCTATCATGTTCTTAAGCTTTAACCTAGACAACTTCAACTTTCACATATGAATAGGCCTGTGAATGTGATAGGAACAATTCTATGTGTGCAGCAATATTTTGGAAATGAATAAATAATTAATTGGACTATTCATTTTATAAGAACAACTACCAAACCGGTAACGTTTTACATAAAACAAGTTACCCCCAATTGTCTTAGATCCTAATGTGAATTTAAATAATACTTTTAAAGTGTTAAACACTTTCATACAAAAAAATGATAAAACTATCAAACAGTACGAATAATGATTTCTTGTATTCTGTAATTCGATTTACATGAAACTTTATTTAGCTGATATATTTTATTGTTTTAATCGTCATAAATGCTACGCTGAGTTAGTATTGGTAAGTATATGATATGTTTGTGCATTTGAATGTTTATTCAATGACACAGCTCTGAAAAAAATTAAGAGACCACATTTTTCATCAATCTCAATATCTATCTACATGTCTGGCAGCCATTCCAGTGTCTTTTGAATTTCACCACAGAGAAATGTTGTCAGTAGTTTTTAGAATTGCAAAAATGTTCATTTTACTCAAACACATACATACCTTACCTAGAAATAGTAAAACCAGAAAAACGGATAATGTTGCAGTGGTCTCTTAATGTTTTTCAGAATTGTATATAAATACACAAAAAAAACATGTAAGGAACACATTTGTGAGTCTCAAAAAGAGTATTCAATAGGCCCGCTGACCGTGAAGTATCTGAGCTGTGAGTGGATCTCTCTCACGCGCTCCAGACACAGGCGCGCGCCTCCGGAGAACTCTGTTGGTCTGATTCTGTCCCGCCGACTGTCACTGCCGTCCTGACAAGAAATGCATTACCAGCGCATGGAGGGAGTGTTGTCGGTTTCTGTGTTGGAATATTGGATAGAAATAATGCTGCGCTGAGTCAACAAGAAATGTGAGTAATCCTTATTATCCATCTTAAAAACAATGACGATTATGAGCCCTTATCTTTAGCACTCTGATACCTCACGTTTAGAATGATGTGTGATATTATTTTATAAATGCAGTCTTCCCAGTGGCTAATCACACATTTCAGTAAAGTATAATGTATGAAAAAGATAATGTGTTGAGTTGACTCTGTATGTCTTCACCATGAGAATTAATATTAGGCACACTTTTTGATCCATTTGATGTGATTAATTGCAACCACAACGTTTTTGATTAGTCTATGGCTGAAATAAAGCAGGCCCAAATTGTTTTTCTATTTAAATAGGAGTTTAAAACGTAAATTGTAGCAATCTGGTGGAAAAAATCAAGTTTGGGATTTGTTTCAGAGATAGTAAGAAGTTTATTGTGTGATAAGGAAAAATTGAGAAAAACCCAAACAAACCATCCAAACAACAAGTTGGACAAATATTCGTTATTGGCAACTTCTACAGTTCTGTGTTGATGGCAGCTCTCCACCCATTGTGAAGTTGGGAGGAAAAGGGAGACGCCACTGTAAATCCAGAGAACCCAGGGTCACAGCTCCATGCTTTAGCCTTCCTGTCTTGCAGACCTCAGATCAGTGTGCTACGCCTTCCATACCTTCTCCTGTCTGCTAACTCCAACAAGTGTGTTTGCTTATTGCCTGCTGCCTTCTCGTGGAATATTTCTATATTTTGGATTTCTGATTTGTAGAGGTCAGGGATGGTGGAAGAGGAAGGTCATGTGGTGAAGGAGAAAACAGAGGCACAGACATCGGAATGCCACAAGCTGTCTCACTGCTGCCCTTCCTGCTGGCGCTCATGGGATATGGTGAGTCTCACTAAACCAGTGGTGTCCAAACTACGGCCCTCAGCAAATTACAAACAATATAATGAAATATGGCCCACAAATGAAACTTATGCTTGTCTTATATTGTAAATCTTAAATGTAAAATTATCTTACACAGCAGTATTCATGTGTTAATAAGACCGCTTTTCAAACACATTCAGTCAATTAAAGTTGAAAACATTTTCTGACATATCTTAGTTGATAAGAAACAAACGTATTTACGTAATAAGCTTGAAATACACCCTTCCTATTTCTCCTTATTATAATCCATCTGAGGCTTCTGTTTTAAGGGATGAGCTGCCAACACTCACAAGCATCATTTACCTA